GGAGGTTGAGTGGGAAGAATTTATTGAGAGAAAGAAAGCTTCTGTCTGAGAGGGACAGAAAGGGGCCCAAAAAGTGGTTTATCCAATTAATTCCAGCTTCTCAAGGGTGTGTATTGAGCAAAGCTATCAGGTGAGGCAGGTTTAAAGTGGGACAAAACTATAATCAATCAATAAAACTACACGTATAGTCACGTAGGTAATATTGATCCAATGGAAAAATCATAGGATGAGTGTGAGGTAGGATAAAAATTATGATCAACCAATAAAATTACAAGTATAGTCACTTGGGTAATTTTGAAAATGGAGATCAAATAGGAAGCAAGTCATGCAGCAAGAACATATGGAATAGACAAGGACTTCCCTGGAAGGAATGAGTTAAGGAGTTTTGGACCCCCACCCAAGGTGATTGATGCCTACTTACAATGGCAATCACTGCTGTTCCTCCCTAGGGGAAGTTTATGGGTGAGTAGTTCCTCTTTTTCCTAAAGTCTGGCCTTCAGTGAATGTGCCTCCAGCCACAGTTGTCTTCTGCATTGACCTCACAAAGGTCCAGGACTGTCTGACTGCCTTTAATATTTCTACCTAACTTAGCCATCTATAATAAATGGATATAAATAGGAGTGCCTCCATTTTACACTCTGGTCCACCCTAGGCAGCCGCTCCAGAACACAACGGAAATTATGGGAAATGCCTGCTCAGCTTAAATTCTGGAAATGCAGCTACAGACTAAGATAGCTATCAGTAGCCAAGGACTTTTTCTCCCCTACCTTCTCCCTCCCGAGCTTCCTTCCCCTCAGCAGCCCTTTGCATCCTCCCCTTGCCCTGCTTAAGCTCAACTGCAATAGGTTGTAGCCTCTGAATTCAGCAAATGAATTTAAAGGACAGCTGCCTGAGGGCTTAAAAAATCCCGCCTCCCCTGCTACTTGGTGGCTGCTGCCTCACATCTAAGTGCACTCCAGCCCTTCTGACACAGAACCCCCCAATGACAGAGGGGGAATAAATGTAACCCCCAACCTGCTAGGCGCAGGTATGCTGAGTCCATGTTCCCCAAAATGGAAGAGTGAAGTCAAAGGAACAACAATGGAGATTAAGAGTCTGAAATTTTTCTGAGGGAGAGACAGCTTCTGAAAGAGACAAGGGGATCTGGAAAAGGGGTTGCCAACAAATCCACCTCTAAGGAAGCTTTAAGGAGCAAAATCAGGAGGTGGGAACAAAATCCTGAGATGAGTACAACATGGAACAAAACTGACCAACCGGTGAGATTACAAGTACAGCTGCTGAGGTGTTCATCCAGTGGGGAAGCGAGTCTAGCGAGCGTGCCTGGGAAGAACAGGGCCCTTTTTGGAAGAGATGAGTCAGGAGGGCCTGGTCACCCCTCAGGTGACTGGTGTCTAGATTTTATTGGGCCAGGTGATACTGATTATAGTACATAGTTTATCCCTCAGAGAGGTAGGTAGGCCTAGTCATTCCATCTTATCTTGAGGCCAGGCCTTCAACAAATGTGCCTCCAGCCACAGTTGTAATGTTTTATCTTCTGCACTGAGTGCTTCGAGGGCCCAGCCCCGCGTGACTGCCTATTCTTCTACCTAACTTAGATGTCTATGATAATTGTGTAGAACTTTAAACTTTGCCTTGTCAAGATCTCTTGCTTGCTGTTGGAGTGCATTCTTTCCAGTGCTGACAATGTGAGTCTGGGGGCTTCATGTCTAAAATGAAGTTAATGGTTTTCTGCAATCTCTGATGGGAATTTTTATTTAGTTCCCTTTTCTGGTTCAGCTTCTGTGGCTGGCTCAAAATTTCCTGAAAGGGGAAGCCACAATGAACTGATAATCTGCCTGCAAACAGCTGCCAGGCTGGCCCCAGAGAGGGAGAAGGGATAAGGGTGTGAAGAACCCTTTCTTCCAGAAGGCAGACTTAGGCTGAGCAGCACTCCACAAGCAGAGCACTCACCTTTTGCCACTTCCTTCCTTCCTCACTTTTTTTTTTTTAGACTTTTTGAGACAGGCTCAGGCTGGCCTTGAGCTCACTTTGTAGCCCAGCCTGGTCTCAAACTCACAAAGATCCTCCTGTCTCAGCCTCCCAAGTGCATGTGTTGCCATGCCCGGCTTCTTCCTTCCTCTTGACTTTCCTCTCTTCTCCAGAGCCTTGGCCCAGCCCAGCAGCCTCTCCCCACCCAGCTCTACACCTGTGGGCCTCCTCACCACAAAATAGGTACCAAATGACTGAAGGTGCTGAAAGGAAAGGCGCTGAGGAAATTTAAGCACAGCTTTTCTAAAGAGAAGGGAAGTGAGGAAACAATTTGACTTTACACCCACGCCCTGCTCTTGGGCTTAAGCTCTTTCTGCTTAGTACTATAAAACATCCAGCTTCCTGCTAATCACTCAAGTGACAGGCAGTTGTACCTTATGTTTCTCAAGGTTTCTGCTGTGTCAACTTCCCTGGAGGGTTTCCAGGAGAAAGGATTACAAAGGATTGTTCCTCTGAAAGGGTGAGACCACTTGGAATTCCTCACCCTGCAGCTCCACTTTGGATGGGAGTCAGGCACTCTTCTTACTGACGTGATCCATCCAAAGGGAGATGCCTGAGCCTTTTCCTCACTGCATTTGAGGAACCCAGTTGGAGCTATGCTCGTGGTAACCTGAGGGCAGGAAGAGCCTGGGTTGTAACAGGTGGGCTCTGAAGGGACCCAGCTTCAGTTTCTCCCTGCACAGCGAGCTTGGTCCAGCCTTGTGGCCACAGTAGACCCCCCATCTTGGGCTGTAATTACAGGAATGAGTGCCTGGGGTTTCATGCCTTTAAATGACCCCAGGAAATTAAATGCCCCCGTTGCACTAATGTTCATGAATGTTCTAACAAAGTATAAAACAGAAAACTGTCCAACAGATCCCTTAGTATAAATGCGTTTGGAAAATAATACAAGCATATCCCTTACCCAAAATTTGTCTTAAAATTGTTTAAAAATATATTGTGAAAGTAAAAACTGAATGCATAATGGCTGGGGGTGTACCGTGGTGGTAAACCAACTTGCTCAGCACACACAAGAACAGTACTGGGTATTGTTCATAATCCCATGAATGGCAGCATGTGAGAAGCACATCAGAGATAGACTTGACTGTCACCATCTGCTGCCTCTACTAAATGTGACTGTAGTTAGTGCGGCATTGGTTCCCAACTAGAGCCAGATGGATACTTCCTGCTACCTCCTACTCACCCTTTCATGTTCAGCCTGAAATCACCTCTTTAGGAAAGCCTGCCCAGATTTCTGCAAAGGCTGAATGATGCCCCATTTCTTCCAAAAGCACTTAGATTGCTAGCTGTGGTGGCACAGTCCTGTAGTACCCGCGTTATAGGCAACTAAGTTAGATAAAATATTATAGGCAGTCAGACAGGGCTGGGCCCTTGAAGGAGCCAGTGCGGAAGATGAGATGCCTTACAACCGTGGGAGAGAGATCGCTCCTCTGTGGGCCAGACCTCAAGACAAAAGATAAAACAAATGCGCCCACGTATTTCCTAAGGATAAACATCAGGGATTGATATTTTAAAGAGGTATTGACCGTTAGGTAAAGCAACTAACCCAAACCCCTACAGGAAAAGCCCTGTTCTGTCTGTATTCACACCCACTTCCCAGTTTGATCCTGATTTAATCAATTTTACTTGAGCAATTATACTCATAACCTTATTGGCTGACCATAGTTTTGTCCCACCTCATGCGCACCTTCCAATTTCCCACCTTGGACCCGCCTCACTTTGTGGTTTTGCTCTATAAAATGCCTAGAAGAGGCAGAGTCCCTGGCAACCCATTTAGGACCTCTTCTGCCTCTCCCTCTGACAGAAGCTTTCTTTCCCTCAATAAATACATTCTGCTTTTAACCTCTGTTGTTCCTAAAATTCATTCTTCGATTTTAGAGATCACGAACTCATACCAGACATCTCGCAGGTTGGGTGTTTCTTTCCTCTGTATCAGCAGCACTTGGGAGGCTGAGGCAAGAGGGTTACCAGCTTAGGCTACATAGTGAGTTCAAGGCCAGGCCTGAACTACAAAATGAGATCCTGTCTCAAAATTGTTTTTAAATGTTGGATATCATTATAATTTATTTTATTATTTTGGACTCATCTAGGTTTTCTTGGGGGAGAGGAAGAAATCACTTTACCCTTACAGGAAATTTACAAAAATAGCACAAAAAACACATGTATAAACTTTCTTTACAAAGGCTCTCCTTTTTGTCACTATTTTCTCTGTTTGTATGTTTCCTCTGTAATATGAGTAACATAGCACAATGTAATATACAATGTGTCATCAGTCTGTGATCCGCAGGCTGCTTCTGGCTAGCCACCTGTTTTTATCAACAAAATTTTATTGAAACAGCTGAATGCATTTGTTTACATGTTGTCCCTGCCTGCTTTTGTGCTGCACTGACATAGTCTATGGCCCACAAAGATGAAAATATTTACTATTTCACCCTTTGCCAAAAGCGAAGCTGAGTTCAAGTCCCTGTTTTCCCCAAGGAGTAGCTATCAGCTATGCTGGCAACTGGTCCCCCTTGTGTTGGTTTGGGGGATATTTTCCAACACAGAACAATATAATACAGGACACATATTTTATATGATTATTTATAATAGTCACCTAAAGAATGATATACAAGAGAGTACAGGAAATCTGTCCACACACTAAGACCAAGGAATCCAGGTAAGGATCTAGTTCCCAGAGCAATGTCTTGCGTGAGTCCAGCTGAAGACCTAGAGCTCATAACAATGCCTCCCATTAGTCCACCTGGAGGCCCAGAGTCCATAACAATATCTCATGCAGGCCTGTTTCACAGATCTGTGCTGAGAAGGCCCAAAGGTCAGTGGTGGAATCTAGGAAGTCTGTGCCAAAGGGATGAAGGATCTGTGCTAGCAGGTTGAGGGATATGCACTGGAGCCAGGAAGTGATGCTCAGAAGAACCAGAGCTCCCCCGAATGGTACCACAGCCATCCTCAGCAACAGTGAGGTCCCGAGCTCCTCTGATGATCAAGACGGCCAAGTTCCCATCAGGGAAGCCAACATAGCAAGCTTCTCCAGGAGAATGGCAATACACCATCTTCTGCTCTGGAGCATGGAAGTGTTGCTCAAAGTGAGGACCAGAGCTCCCCCAAAGTTAACCAAAGCCATTCTCAGTGTCAACGAGGTCCCGAGCTCCTTGGAGGATGAAAACAGCCAAGTTCATCAGGAAAGCCTGCACAATGAGCTCTTCCAAAACAACCAACAGCTCCTTACAGCTTCTACCAGCTCCCAACAGCCTCTCTCAGCTCCCAACAGCCTCTATTCTTCTCCAGTTCTGCCTCTTATGCTGCTGGCAACAGTCCCCAGGTGGGCCTCCCACACCCAGCACCACGCTTACTCAGTTCAACTAGGGGTTATAAGTTGACGACCAGTTATCAGTCCACTACACCCGTCCTTTCTGTTTCTCCTCACACATGTGTGTAAGAAGTACAAGAACAGAGAAATGGTAAAACAGGGAATCAACACACGTACACACACACACACACACACACACACACTGAACTGAAGGACTGAGTCATCGCATACACTAAGCTTCCAACTACTCAGGTCAGGCGACAAAGAGGAGTTTCCCAAGAGGACTGTTAACAGGTTTGTGTCCACTTAAAATTCATATGTTGAAGTTCTAATCTCTAGTACCTCAGAATGTGATCTTATTTAGGTCATTGCTGCTGTGGTTGCAGTCTTAAGTCTGATTCTCGGGGCTCCAAAAAGGGCTTGATGAATAAACTCATCTGCTGCTGCTGCAGAAAGCCACGCCACCTTAAGAGGGACTGTCACAATAAAAGGCCTCCTGAGCCATACCCTAAGTGCAAAAGTAACCACTGGAAGTCAGACACACACCCCTACACCCCCACACCCCACACCCCATGCCCCCACACCTCACGCACAACCCTCCCAGACAGAGATCCCAGAGATCAGACTCCTCTTACCAGCTGGTTCAATAAGACAGAAGGGCCCTGGAACATTCTCTGCCTTCTACTTCAGGCCAGACTGTCATCTCCATGGAGGAACTCTGGGTAATCATGACTACAGAGGAAAAGAAACCAGCTTATTGCTGGACACTGACGCAAGTCTCAGTTCTTCTTTTCCATCCAGGCCTTCTTTCCAGCCACCATATCTCAATGAAAGGAGTCATTGGGGAAGAGATAAACCCACTATTTCCAACAGCCCTTAGGCTGTAACTGGGATAGTTTTCTCTTCTGCCATTCCTTTTTGATTATGCCTGAAATTGGTTGTGAATCTGCAAAGAAAAAAATCTGTCACCAGCAGAGAGCCATTTAAGATCTCCATGAACTTGAGCACCCTAGTATTCAAAGGTCAGGCCTCATAAAAACAAGTTCTTTCTTGGTCTTGCTAGCAGGGCAGGACATGGGCAGGTGAGTGAGCAGCTCAAGGCATTGCATCAAACAGCCCAGTCCTGGAAACAAGGTCTTCTGTCCTGAGGTCACCTGCTCCTCAGGTTACCTGGATCTCTGTTATCAGAAGAGATTTGGGTCTGGAAGGCCATGCTGTATAAAATATTAGGCAAAGCATGAAATAAAAAGCAAAATATCCAGAAAATGTTCATGCGGCCAGCAAAAGTGGGTGCTTTCAGTTGACAAGACCCCTGGGATAGCCAAGCCCAACTGCACACTAGGAGCTGCCTGGTTTGGTTCCTTTGGAGATCTCAACCAAGACGTATAGAAGCCCAAAAATACAGAGATAGAAAGAGGAAGCAGCCAGCTACAAAGCTTCCTTCATTATCGGCTCTATGCTCTGGGATTTTATATTGAGAATCCACATCTGTTAAAGGTCATCCTCAGCCTTACAGCATGTGAACCAGCCTGCCAGCCCCCTGGTGACAGTGTGCTTGAGCTAATTGCAGACTGCCTGCTTCCACAGCTCTTTCTGACTGAACAGTGCTGCTGTTTCCACCTCTGATTTAATTTGGAGTTACACAAATGCTATAATCTGGGGGAGCAGCTAAGAATGTCTTTCAGATAATCGCTCAGCAAAGCGATGTCATTAGCAATATTAGCGCTTGCTACAGATCACTGGGCTCATGCACGTAGTAATCATCACTGACTCAGAGTGACACAGGTTTATACAGAAGACACAGAGCGTGTTCCAGGCTGCGGTTTCCAGAATGCTGTTCCCGCTTCTCCTCCTCCTTGTGCACAGCATTCTCTCTCTGTTTCTCTACCATCTGTACTCCAAGAAATATAAGGGGAATAGTTTGCTTCAATGGCTAGGTGAAAATGGGGGACAAGTTTTGACAGAGGAAGGAAATTAAGACATAAAATGGAGCTTCTTAGCTTACTAACCATCCTTCAAATCACTTAAGTGTGATGGCTGCACATGAGAATGAGTTAGGATATTTTTTACCAAAAAGGAAGACAGTGGTGCGATGATAATGACAGTGTTTGAGTCTGCTGCCTGTCCACTTCTTAGCTCTGCTTGGGACACAAACAGCTCTGATGAGACCGTGACTCATGGAACTCTCCTCTCCAAGATTTTGCTGTTTTCTTGGAGTCCTGCCATGAACCCAGCTCTAATCCAATGTTCTGAAACCCACAGAACTTTCTTTCCTGTTCCTACTCAGGGAAAATGTTTTGTTTTTCTCGCCTGCTCACTTTCTTGGAAATGAGGAGCCCAGCTTGCCCTTCTGCTTCTCCAAGACCCTCTGCTCTTTCCCCCAAATGCTCTTCTCTCTTCCGCATCTCCTCCAGAGAGGGCCTAAATTCATAGGCTTTTGAAAGAGAAAAGACTGGCAGGCACTTAGCCCAGGGCCATTTACTTTCCCTGGGACAACAGGGACATAAAATTGGACATTTGATGATAAAAAGAAAGAAACTGGAAAATACAAACTTTTCTCCCCAAATTGAAATTTTAAGGCACAAAGACAAACCCATTGGAGTTTGAGGCAAAAGTCAGTTATACTGATCCCACTTTTACCATGCTATTACTTTTTAAAATATGAGTTTTTGTGCATTGTGATTTATTTAAATACTGCATGAAAGTAGTGCTTTTCTCAATTACTGAATTTATTTTTTATGGGCTCTTAGATTCTGCCCTGGCTGGCATGAAGTGCTCAACACACAATCTGCACAGTTGTCAAGCTTTGTGTCAAAGCTCGCTTGAGCCCTGGGCTGAAACCTAAAGGAGAGGACACCTTATGTTCACAAGTTAAAAGTTCTAAGATATTGTAGAAGGGAAACATTATCTCTGTTTTATAAATGAATTTGTATCTTGCTTAGTCATTTAGTAGCTAAAAGACCTGGTACCGTTTAATTACCCTCCCTGAATCCAAATTTTCTAATATTTAAAATAGAAATAATAATAGTGCCTCTTTCTCAGCAGCATCCTTCATTCAGAATTCAGTTGCTATTTCAGCTAGACAGCTCTTGCCTGATGCTTGGAGCCAGGGGCAAGGTTAAGATTTCCCATTCCAGGATTCTTAGGTTAAATGCAGGCCTAGCAGGGAAGCTGGAAAGATTTTCTATTCTTTCAAATTTAAAAATGAGGGCCGGGGTTAAAAGAGAAATGAATTAAATGCAAGCAAGCAATCCTGAGTGACAATAAGTATATAAAGTCAGGACTTGGCAATATAGGTGTTTGGCGCACAGACCCATGAAGGACGACTGGCTTGTTTCAGGGAGCATTCTTAAGGGGCTTGGGGAGCAGGAATGGCACCAGGGATCACAGTGTTTGAGGCTTTAGTACTGAACTTAAGATGAAAAATCAAAACTACTCTTCTCCCTTCCCCTACTACTACCTCCACTACCTACTGTTTGCATAAGCATTGCAATCTAGAAAAATATTTTCATACACATTAGCTCATCCAATCACACAATCTCCTTACTGACCATTGGTGAAATATCACTTCCATTTAATAGATGAGAAAACTGATGTTCAAACAGCCTGTGCATGAATCTAGACAGATGTGAGAAAGCATACAGCACAGAGCTCAAGAATGTAACCATGTATTCTGATTCCAGGTTCTGAGAGGTCTCATTGTAGTGGCTTTTTTTCTACTACATGTTCTTTAGGACCTGAAGTACCCTAGCGCTGTTTATCACTGAATTCATTTGTTTCATCTAAATAGCCTAATTTTGCCCAAGTACTCACAGGCCTCAGGAGACATTTCAGCTCATAAAAGCTTTGTCTGGAGTTACAGTTATTAGCAAGTAATTTTAAATAATAATCTCTGTAATTAAAATACAGAAGGAAAACACTCACTTCCTCTTCCATCAGAGCAGATTTTCCATGATGTTGCTGCCAGCAGCTCTGCTAATGTTTGCATTAATGACAATTTGTTGTTGTACAAACAACCATAAGTGAGAGACAGGGAGCAAAAGAGAACAGGAAAAATATTGAAACAGTCTGTCTCCATGTTCTCAAGTAAGTAATTGTCTTTCTTCCTTACTTTTTTTGGTGAGTGGAACTACAAAATTGTGTTCTAATTCTACCTTAGAAAAACTCAAAACTATAAAGGATTTTTCTACATACCCTAACTTTTTCATGTTCTAGAGGACAGTTTAATTAAAACACAGGCATTTCCTGGCTCTTTTCCTTTAGAACTTCAGAACACTAGTAGACCTTTATGGAACTGTCTCATGATACAGCTAATACTTACCATAGCCAACACCCAAGAATGATCTCCTTTGTCCCCCAAAGAACATGTGAGCAATCAACACTTAGCATTACGCTCCTGGGGTTGTTATATGGCAGTGTTAGTTGATATAACCCATTTCCCAGCTGGGGTCCTGCAGGTGAGGGTAATAGCTTGGAGCAGAGCCACTCTGGTTTATGAGGTACTTTAGCAAGGATGGTTTGTACTAGGAGTCTCCCACGTAGCCAGCCCATTCAGACTGACCACATTTCTCTACTCAATTTCTGCTCCATCAGGTGATTGAGAAATATGCTGTCTTCCATAGTTTTCTTCCGATCTGAAACTCTTGTTCCTTTTCTAAAGAACTGAAACAAAAAAACACACAGAAACCAGAAGTAGCAGTCATTTACGCTGCTCGATGTCGGGAACTCAAGAGTGCATCTTCTATGTACCCTTAACTCTTTCCTACTGACCTGTATTTCAGAAAGATTATCTGTTGCTCTGAAGGAGAGCACAATTCTCAAAGGATAACAAGAGCAGATTCCAGTATCAGTATGATCACCTGAAGATGATTCATTAGATTATCAGTCTTTCAGCATGATTTGTAATCAAGAATGTGGACAGAGTTGGAAGGAACCTTAGAAATCAAAAGCCTAGCCATTCATTTATGCAGAAGAAATATAATCCCAGGAAGGTCAAGTGACTTTGTCCAAGACAAAATGGCCTACGCTGGGACTCACATTCAAGATTTCAGGCCTCAAGTTCAAGGCCACTTTCACCACACTGCTGGGTCTGTCAGTGGGCAACTTCCAGCCCCTCACAGAAGCAGAACCTATACGCATCAAGTGGCCTTGCTAGGTACAACCCAGAGTTACACACTGAAACTTCGCCTCTCCTGCACAGTGATGGGGGGAACTCAAATCTAACAACTGAAAAAAACTTAGTATTGAAGTATTTCAAAACATCACAGGAGGGATATCAATAATACAATTCAATGAACTTTCTTAAAATCCCACATCCTCATCGTTCTCCCATTGTAATTCTCACACATCGCTGCCTAGGTTCTCCCCCCCTCTTTCCAGACCTTCCCACACTCTCCTCTTGTCCCAGCCCACAGCGTTACTTCCTTTCCCCTTCTCGTCTCCCCTTGTGGATCTGCCCTGCTTTGTGACTCAGTGCTCTCCAGTGCAGATGGGCTTCTTCACTCCTGAAGTTCTCTGTCTACTATCTACTCTTGTTAGGGAAAACTAACCTTCAAGAAGAACATTCCCTGACTGCACCCCACTCCTTGCTTCCCTTTCCCGTACCGGCTGCACCTTGGTGTGATAACATCAAGCAGCTTCACTATATCCTGTTATCTCCCTCTCCAGCTGGCAGAGGCCAGCTAGATGTGTAAAGTTGTAAACCTGTCACCTTTGAGTAATTGCCTTTGTTCTGCCTCTGTAACTTAGCTTGCATACCTTACCAGCCACAAGTCCTATAAAACAGCTCACCTAACCCAGGCTTGGGGCTCAGACCTTGGGGTGCTGAACTCTTCTGGGAGCGTCATAAAGTTTGGTGTCCTCCATTTCTCTGGGTGCCACTCATTTCCTTTGCCTCTAGTGAACTAACATTGCTGTAACACTCTCATTCTGCATGAAAGAGGCTGGAGTGGACAAAATAAGATTCTCCTGGGGGTGGGCATCGGAAATGAGCTGTGCACACTTCTGTGTGTAAGACCACAGCGGCAGCGCCTTGTACATTTGTCATGCTATATACTAGTCACACAGAAAAGCGCAAGTATGTTGCATTTATTAAACACGTAAGTATCTTGAAAATAGGAAAAGTCACACATGTGATAAAGCCTGTGATCCTCATGAGCCACAGGAGGTAGAAAAGAACACAGGTGGTTGATTTCTAACACCTGCCGTGCAGACACCCATCACAGCAAAGTGACTGGTCTCAGTGAGGATCCTGATGATTCAAAGTAATGAAGTAGAAGTGAGAGTAACGCACCATATTTTCACTACCATGGGTTTTCCTGGTCATATATAAGCAGGTGATGGGCAAGCCATGGATCATGGTGGGCATGAGAATAAATAAGAAATGTTTTCTTTTCCATAATCTGGAGTATAAAAAATGGGATTTATCATTTAAAGCTCTAATAAATTAATGAATACAGTGATTAAAGGAATTCTGTGAGGTACAAGTTACAATTCCTGAGAAAGGGTGCTCCTGTGAAAACAATTACCTCAGCTCTGCCTCAGTAGCATCATTATTTCCTCATGCAAAAAATCAGGCTGCTCCCGCTGGGAGAGACCTAGATATAGGTCTCTGGTTTGTTGTTTTGGGTTAGTATGAGTTGCTCAATGCATATCTCATTTTAAGTGATTCAGAGTTTATTTAATTAAGTTGTACACTAGCACAATAATATTTAATGGATAAAATTTTAAATATGCACATTAAAAAATTGAATATGATGAATCATGCCAGATACATTAACATAAAAATATTTAATAATCGATTTAATGTAATTAACAAAAACTGAAAGACTAACGAGTAGTTATTGAAACATGAAAAGTCTAAATGTGAACATTGAAAGTGTGAATATAATCATTAAATATCCTCTTATAGTCACTGATTTTTCATTTAAAAAGAAAAATGTATCCAGTCATGGTGGTGTATGCCTGTAATAACAGCACTCGGGAGGCTGAGGCAGGAGGATCATTGCGAGTTCGAGACCAGCCTGGACTACAAAGTGAGCTCAAGGCCAGTCTGATCTGCATAGCAAGACACTGTCTCAAAAAGACAAAAAAAAAAAAAGGCCAAAAAAAAAGAAAAATGTAAATATATTTTCAGGTGATTTTGTGAGTAATAAATGAATGGAAAGATGTGAGTATCATCGAAGGTTTTGCCCATTATCCTCCTGGGTCATGAACACTGTTGCTGTCTTTATGAGTAAATAAAAGAGTAATTTCATATCACAAAGAAAAATAAGTCAAGAAAATATTTTCACTGATCCAACGCTACCGTGCATTTGAATGGTGGTTGCCAAGAAGCGTGCTCACAGCCGCAGCATATAGCATTCTTTTCACTGCGTGTCAGGGATCTTACTTTGCAGGTGAGGAATGGACGTGCAGACAGATGAAATGGATAAAATGGCAAATTTTAAAAAGTTTAAAAAGAAAGAAGTAGGAGAGAATGCTTTGTAATATATAGAGTAGGATTTCTCAACACAAAAATCAGAGTGTTCCAATAAAAACAAAATAAATCCAACCACAGAAAAGGTCTTCTGTTATTATACAACAAAACTGAGTAAGAGGAGGAGTTAATGCTCTGCAGAGGAATGTAACATCCTGGAGATGGGGGACTTTGCTGTGGAGTCAGCCAGTTTCAACTCTGAAAGTGAACATGGCTCCTTGGAAGGAAGGCGGCACTCTGAGAGGCCGCTGTGTGTTTGTCTGCTTCGTGGCTTCCTGTGAAGTGCGGTTGGGATGGAAGACACAGATGCAGAGAAATGCTCTACTAGGGGCTTCGTGGATCCCACAGGAAGTCAGACTGTGAGGAGGACTAAGGTTTTCTGAAAAGGTCCAGGAAAACGGGCTATAATGAATGTGGGCATCAGAAGCATGGAATCCCAGACACTACTTCTGGGAGGTATGATAATGGGTGTGTTTAGCTTCTGTCTACCTCAGTTTCTTCATCTGAGGATGGGTGTCATGACAGTACCTACATCATGAGGATTTGCTGAGGAGTAAACTGCTTAGGGTATGGAAAGCGCTGAGACATACCTGGCTCACAGCGAGTACTTAATGCTTGGAGCAGATGAGAGTCAGAGTAGGCTCAGGGGTTGCCTATCAGGGGTTCCCCTTGAAGGGTGGAATCCCTGGGCTGGGAACAGCTCCTAATCAATGACTTTTCTGAATCATCTAGCATACTTCCGGAAGTGTAATGTTCCTGCATGGTCTGAAACAGGATAGGGACTTATGGAGAATGAAGTGTCAGGACAGTGCAGTGAGGCCACTCCTCATCAATCTCCCAGGCCCTCTTCCACAGGAGGAAGCAATTCCTGGTCACAGGGACCAAGTTAGAGTCGCCGGGGAGAAGTCAGCAGGGGTGCTCAGCGGACCAGGAGCATGCAGAGCCATCCACGGTAGGCGTGTGGAGGCTCAGGAGAAGCTTCAGTGCTGCCAGATTCTCCAGAGGATGTGGATAGAGGAGGAAGGGTGGCGTGGGGGGCAGATTTTTGGGTTATCTGGGTGATGTTCTCCCCACATTTCTTCCGTAGTCCTTGCTGCCTGGCCAGGTTGTTATCCATGCTCTTAAGAACAAAACCTGGTCCATGATGAGTGTTCTGCTCTCCCCAACCAATAAAAAAGGGTCACTGGCCACTCCTACCTCCACCCTGTCCCCTGGGTTACTTTAGGAGCCCTGAAGGACAGTGCCCCCTCACTCTCACCCTCTACCCACTCCAAGTTAGCGTGTTTTTCTCTCACACCATCAGGGAGAACATCTCAGAGATCACAAAAGCAAACTGCTAGTACATCTTTGTTTTCAACTGCAGATTTATTTTCACAAAACAATCTACTTGCGGGAGTTACAGAACTGCCACAGATGCCACATACCACTCGGACTCAGCAGAAAGCCCACGAGAAGAGTGAGGATGGATGGACCAAGCTGCCCCTGCTGCCTGGTGGGAAGGGAAGAACAGAGCCATTCTAACAGGTCACTTAGTCTGTGCAGGGCACAGGAAAGCCCAGGGTCAAGGGGAGAAGGACACAGCCAGCCGCTGCTTGGGGGTTTCAGTGAGGCAGGACCACGCCTGCCATTGGAAAGGATTTTAGGGTCCCTCGCCTCCCCCAAGAACACCAGTCTACAGTGAGATAGTTTGCCCACCAGATCCCAAACAACAAAGCACAGAAACAATTCCAATAGCAAGAGCACAGAGACAAGGCAAGGGCAAGTGGCACAGCATGTGAAGATCAGGGACTGATTTTCAGCCCGAGACACAGAGCCAGCTCCGACTTCTGAATTTTCCCATCCTTGTTCACATCGCAGTGACGCAGAAGGATCCCCCGGAACTTGTCAAGGTCCACTCCGCTGATGCTGGGCTGAAGATGACAACAGGACCCTGTCAGCAGGTCAGGCAGTGGCAGCCCCACCCTTTACTGCCCGCTAAACTTATAGGGTGCCCTACCTTCGTCGTTACCCATCCCACCTCCCCTCCCCACCCAATGTTACTAAGGGCAGCTCCTGTGCCAAGAGCTTCATTTCTTAGCTTATCCCTTCAGGCAAAAAAAAAAAAAGACTTCTACCAGTATTTCCATATCACTTCCCTGTAGTTCTCACAGACTGCCTGTCTTATTAGCCCAAAATAAAGACATTTTTCTCCAAGTAGAGAACCATGCTAGCAATACAAAGTCTCCCTTGCCTGCATCAATGAAAGAAGATACATTCATTCATTAACTCCCTGCGGGGTGTTTCTTTGCCTCCAATTAAAAGGGGGTGTACAGCATGAATATCTAACTAAAACGTTGTGTTGCTGAGTTAGGGACCTAGGATTTATACTAAGGGAAACATTAGGAGTTAAGAAGGAATTGTGTTGCATGTGAGCTAGAAAAGACAGTAAGCCCAAATAAAGGCTGTCACAGTTAGCAAGGCTTGAACTAATTGGTTCTCCCCCCCCCCCCCCCCGGGAGCTCTCACTTAATCTTCCCAGTAACCCAGGGAGGTAAATAATGAAACCTCTTTTTACAGCTTGGGACCCAGGCCCAGGGAGAGCTTAAGCAAACTGCCGAGCTGGAGAGACGGGGCAGCACTTTTTATTCCAAGACTCCTGACACCAATTAAGTGATCATTCCACTGTTTCCCACCTGGAGGAAGGCTGGCCTCCTGCAGCTACAGGTGTCGATCTAAACTATAAAGTAAAACCCAGCCAGTCAGCTTGTCAAGGCCCTTGATGCCTGGCACGGCTTTATGAGTGGGCAGAACACAGCTGCCTGCAGGAGTCTAGTGCAGGGGCTCTGAGATGGGCTCCATACACCCCAGCCCAGTTCCCATAGATCCCTCACCTCCAAAGAAACCTCTGAAAAATCCTCAGTAGAGGGAAGAAAAAAAAAAACTTCACAATTAGTCAGCCATACTGAGACCTGATAATTTGCATTTGCAACTGGGAAATGAAGGACACCAAATCTGTCCCTTATAATAGGTTTTGCCAACAAGAGCAGCCGAAAGTGGGAGCAGACGGCACACCAGATTGGGGAGGGTTCCCGGACACATCCAGAGGTGAAAGGGTTTGGACAAAAAGATGAGCTGGTCCATTCCCCTCCTCTGTGCACGGTTCCCGGATGATCACGCTGCAGAGCCAAGCTGTAACACACTGCCAGCAGGTTCTAATCCTTAAGCTCACAAAGGATGGAGTGCTAGGTGTCAACACCAGGCAGGTGCAGCGTGGCCAGGGAGATGTGGCTGGGGTCTTGAAAATAGCAAGTTGTACTCTGCAACCTTATGTGAAGAGCTCATTTGTTAAAAAGTTGCAAGGTGAGGCAGTTTGGATAACTTGCTGCTATAACTTTTCTCCAGTAAGGGGTACACCCCCCTCCCGGGATGTCAATCCTTACTCTCTTAGAAGAGACTCAGTGGTGGTCACATCTACACAGTAGCATGAATCAATTTGCCAATGTATGTACCTCATTCAAACTACTCTGAGCTTTTTTTTTTTTTTTTACCTTAATTGAAGAATACTAGGCTTTGTTTGCTGTCAAAGTAATTACTTTCAAATAAGTAAGAAACATTTTGGGAGTACAAATGGCAGAGGTGAGGGTAGGGTAGGGAGTCAGGATGGAAGGGAAGTTCCTTTGGGCTTTATGTTATGTTTTTAATGCTGGGTGACTCACTATGAAAACTGAACACCACCGCTCAAAGCTAAATGAATCACTGAGTCATTAGGGCTTTGGTCTTAATAACAAGCCCCCAAGATAAGTGCGCGTGGGGCCCTGACCTAAAGGCTCTGTACCTATTAACTTAATCTTTAGAGCAGCCACAGAAGGTTCTATCTACTTTCAACCTTAATTTATAGATGAGTAAACTAAAGCACAGAAAAAGGAATCAACTTCCCATTGGCACACAGCTGTCCCATACCAGGACCAGGATACAGATTCTGGCAGGCAGGCTACACTGTATGGTAGCCTCTCGTATGCACAAATAATTACATTCTCATCCATCTAACGGGGAAGGATGGGGTACATCTGGGATAACTGACACCCGCTCATCCGTCCCATTGCATCCTGGGAACTGGGCCTCGTCCCTGTCCATGGCATTAATGAGTGACCCTGCCCTCTTATCATCAGTCTCCCCTACCCACATGCCTTGGCTCTCCTCAGATAAGGAAAACCGAAACACTGATTATAAATCCCCCAGGGCCAGGCCTGCCCCGTGGTTCTTCTGATTGTCACCTGCACTGCCATAGAATAACAAGATGGGAGTCCTTCACTGCATCTTTGTTCACGCAGTGGAGGTGCAGAGAGCTGTGAAGTGTGCAGAAGCACGGTGGCACAGGCAACAGCACCTTCTCCCGGGGAGTTCTAGAAAGACCCTCCACAGCTGTGCTGCTGTCTACCTGCTGCCCATGCCCAGGCACCCACGGGCCTCGTTAGAGGTGCACTTGGGACCTCAAGGCCCCCTCCTTCCACCCGTCCCTTCTGGGAAGCCATCTATCACCTGAGGGAGAGCAGCATGTTAAGTACCAGCATCAAGGTGAGAAGCACGAGTGTGTAGCCCAGGCTGCTGTCTACCCTGATCAACCAGCGTGGGCCAAAATGAAGCCAGGAGCTTTCTGGGTAGTGAAGGGAGGAGAAGCCAGGGTGGAGGAGAGGATCAAAGAGGGACTTGGTCACACACCTCCTCTTCAAAGCTTGCTCAGATCTGGGTGGTGGGAATTTTAACATGTGCAAATCCCTTCACTTAGTGATAGGCCAAGTACAGAAAGAGATTTACGCGCAATGCTATTTTCAGTCAGACACAGGAAGCAGCCTCAGTGACTGGCCCTGCATGGCGATGTGTCCACAGGGAGATTTGAGGCCGGCACTGTACAGCTGCTACTAGGAAACGGTAGTTTGGTACAGTCTCAGCCAGGTACAAAATGCGCATGAGAGAAAAATCACTTCACAGTGAGTCTGGTGGACTGTAGGGATTTCCCTGTTTCTTTTTTCCTTTTTTCTATGATGAGAATAATTTTTATATGATGTATGTATGTGTAATTTTTAAAATTTAAAAAGTAAGTTGGCCATGGTGACACATACCTATCATCCCAGCATTCAGGAGGCTGAGGCAGGAGGATTGCCACAAATTGGAGGCCAGCCTGAGCTACATAGTGAGACCCTGTCTCAAAAAAACAAAAGAAAAAAGCAACATGTGTGCTACGGCTGGCTTTGAGGGCACGTGTTAGATCAGAGCCTCTGGGGTAGTTATTGTCCCCTTCTGCCAGCCATCCTTCTGCCAACAGCAGAGAAAGCAGATGGTGTCTATCAAGAAGAGAGAACTTTAGGGAGGCCTGGGGTGGGACGCTCTCATTATCTAGGTCACACATCTGGGTCATCTCCGGCTGCATGTTTATTTGACTTCTAATGTTTGCAGTTCTCCCTGGGAGATCTTGAATTTCTTGCATTTATACTTTCTAATTTCAGCTGTGGATTCTTGTGTCCATTGTTATGCTGTGCTAAATGGGCCAAAAGCCCTTCAAAAGCTTGTGCAAGCTGGACTTGGTAGCCTATACCTGTAATCCCAGCACTCTCGGAGGCTGAGGCAGGAGAATTACAAGTTTCAGCCCACCCTGAAATTCAGCAATTTAGGTGAATTTAACTATTTTGCAAGACTATGTCTCAAAATGAAAACCAAAAAGAAAGGGCTGCAGATATAGCGTAGTGCAGAGACCCTGGGTTCAATCCCCAGTACCAAAACAAACAAAAACTTATGTAAAATATCATACAATGCTGCATTGTAGTCTTAAAATTTTACTAATTTTAAAATTTTACATAGAGTAGATGCTATGTTAACTGGTCTTACCACAAAAGAAAAAGCAAAACAGAAACCAAAAGTAAGAGGCCTGGGGAAAATTTGCAGCTGAAAGATAACTTTGCATCCCTGATGGTGATGTGTACTTATCGCCAGGCATTCAATATCTAGAGCTTTTTGAATGTCAACTGTATCTCAATAAAGTGATTTTTAAAAAAATTATGTCTGTAATAACTTGCAATTTCATCAGACTACCAGAGCACAGACTTAGGTACTATTTCCCCGTGGTGGGAAATAAGATGTCTTGGTAAGCAAATAATCTTATTAATGAAAAGTTGACTGATGCATAAAACATGGCTGTTTAAAGAATTTAAAAGGTAGGAAACAGGCTTCCTTCTGGGTTATTACTGCAATCAAGAAACCTGACCCAGGACCACAAACTCAGAAATTGGGCCAGCTCCCTGCTGACTCCATGGCATGCTCTGATGGTTGGTTTTTAAAATAAATTCTAGATATTAGTTGTTTTTTGTTGGTTTTTTTCCCGGTACCGGGAATTGAACTCACTACCTCACACTTGCCAAGCAGGTGCTGTGCTGCTAAGCTAAATCCCCAGCCCTAGACATTAGTTGTTTATTTGTCTCATAGCCCTTTCTTATAAAAAGAAAATTTTAAAAAATCTTAAGAACATCAGATTCAACTTATGTTCATCTCTTTACTATCACCTTCAAGTTATAGGATAAAATTTTTCAAGAAACCTGAAACACTAAGAAAGGTCCAGTAAAAGTTAAAAAAGACACAGTACAGGTTTGCAGCTTCAGCTGTCTGACTTCAGAGGAGAACTGTTACCATCAACTCCTATGTACATTTTCTTTTGGTTCAGCAAATCATCTGGGGAGCCCCGTAAACTGCTTTTGTTTACTGAGCACAGTCTGACTCAGGCCTTGGACTGGCCGGGACTCACAGACAGAGGCCCCTTTTGCTTTCCCTGCAGCCCCCCAGAAATCCGAAGTCCGGGGCATCAGTGAGGTGCTCCTCATTTCCCATGGCCGTGACTCATGTCAGAAAGCCAGGCTGACCTCTGCTTCTAGCAGTTCTCTTTGAGCGGTCTAGAGTGTTTCCTTTCTCTGTAGTGTGATTGAATAAGGTCTCATCGCTGATTTGGATTTCAGTTCCATGTTCTCCTGTCAACCTTTGGAAACTTTTGCCAAACTCAGTGCTAACTGAAAGGCAGGATTGTTGAAAATGATGAAGGTTATCCAGATCCAAAAGTGATGATTTTTAAAAGGGAAGCCAGCAAAATTATACTGGATATAGATATCCAAGCTTTCTTTTGGAAAAGTCATACAGAAATGGCAGAAATCATGGTCACTAAAGTGTAAAGGAACTATGTTAGCTTACAGACTAACTTGTGATACAGTCACAATCACTAATATTTATTGAGTTCTTGGTAATAGCTTATTATTATGGCTAATCATTAGTGAAGAGGAGCAATATTAAGGAAAGTATGCAGATTTCACCCTGAAATCATCCTGACACCTTAACGGAAATGGGATTTATGACAACTCCCATCTCCAGAGTAAGAAACTGAAGTTTGAAAATGTCGAATGACTCATCCAGGGTCACAGTGCCTCTTGGTGGTAAATCCAAGCCTAGAATCCAGAGTGGTCAGTCTACAACCTGGATTCTGAATCTAAATTCTCCTTTGTGACTTGTCTTCCTTTATTTTCAATATTTCTCTGCAACACGCAGCACTACTTTTATAATCATAAAAGAAAGCAAATGTTTTCAAATGAGGACTTCTAAAGTAGGTAAGTTCATCACCATCTGGCACAATCATGTCCATCTCTTAGGAGCTCTTTTGAGTATATTTTCTTTATATTATTATTTCAGAAAGGATTAGCCACTAGAATGGCAGAGATGTGCACTGAGCTACTGGTTCCTTCCTCCCTCTCAAATCTAAACTGTTCTCAAGCTGAGAAATAGACTTTAAAGATTACAGCTACTTTGGTTTGATACAATAAAAAAGACTCTTTTTGTGAAACAGTACTGTAACTGTGATTGTGTCTATTAATCCTAGTCATCATACGACCTAGAGAAGCACATACCACTGTGCCCATTTTATGGGCAAGGATTCAAGGTCCAGAGAGGTTGAAGAACTTGATCTGGAATTAAATTTCAGTTCTGTCAACTCCAAAACCATGTCCTCTGTTTTATTCTCTCTCATCTACAAAAATGTCTCCAATCCATTCTTTTCATGGAAAAGGAAGAAAAGCAAAAGAGAACAATGGGGTCATAAAGGAAAGAAGGATCAGACACGGATCCCATGACAGCCTTTAGAAGCCTCTGTTCCAAGTTCTGTGTCTATGACAGATTTCAATGCAGCCAGAGTCCAGCTGGTCAGCTGCCCAGCTGCCTCCCGTAGCCTGGCAGGGGGGATGCCAGAAAAGTTTGTCAGGAACAACAACATCTCAAGTTGGGAAAAATTTCACAGATTTAAGGTGGAACTGCAGAAAAGGAATAGCTAAGAAGGAGGACCCATTAACTGATTGTTCACCCGGCTGGGCGTCTGCACTGGCTGCTCAGGTGTGTGTGCAGAACTTGAGGAGGCACAGGGGGAGACTCTCTGCCTGGGGCCTGCAAGCATCTGAAAGCCTCAGACTTACACTAAAGCATCTGGGGCCTGGCTCTGTTGGGCAGAGGCCAGGCAGCTCTTCTTAGCAGCCTCCCCAGCCCATTCATCGCATTAAAAACAAATTAACTGCAGTTTAGCAAGTCCTTCTGCCGTGCATCTTTAATATCCCCACAGATAACTGCTTAGTACCTATTTTAAAAAGTCATTCTGGCATTAAATAGACAATGACTAAAATGGGATTTTCATTAGCAATCAGTGAAAAGGAAACACTACACAAATATCTATTAGTTATTCTGGCTTTGCCAAAGGCTGCGGCATCTCCAACAGAAGCAAAAACGAAGGTGAGAAAACCAAATCAAGGGTACAGTTAAGATGCAAATAGCACAAGGTAGAGTCACAGAAGATGGTTCCATCACCCTGATTAGTCCTCAGAAAGAATTTTGTTTGTGTCTACTCATTCACTGCACATGAACCATCCTGAAGATTTATGCAAAAATTGATAGCTGAACTTTCTTTGTGTGGCATGACTACAGAGTTTCCATCAGATTTGCATAAAATTCAGGAACTCAAAAACAGTGCATAACTGGTAGTCTAATTTGTTGTTGTCTGGACAGACTAGGGCACAAGAAAACCGTACAAAGTATTAAATTCATTGTATAAACAGACCCCATGGCAAGGGAGAGGTTGGAAATGATCTGTCTAACCAGATTGTGCACTCAGTCCATACAGTTCTGGAGGATCTCAGGAAATATATAGTCTCCCCAACATAAAACAGCCATGAGATATAAATATAACTTAAATTGCTTCATCCCCAACTATGGCAACATTTTAAGTATCCTCTGGGAGATGTTAAGAAAGCCCCTAGTGAAAAAAAATTAGAACCTCAAATATGAGATTTGTTACATGAAATTAAATTTAAAATTTTAATTATTCCCACAACCAAATCAGAAGGACTTTTTGGAGATGAAAAATAAAACAATAAGATGTAAAGTGGCATCACACCATTTTGGTAGTGACTTTTCAATGATGACAATGTGCTTCTCCGGTGACTGTGTAATTCAAACTGTCTTAGGAAAGCAAGGGAGATTTGTTGGGTTGCACAGAATCTCAAAGGTCTTAAACAGACCACATTGTAGCATTTTTCTCTGGCATTAACCTGCAGCCTCACTGGTTCCCACAAATAAAAATGGAATCCATTGAAACAGGGACCCCAGCCCATGGTGGAAATAATCTACTCAGCCCCAGAAATCACCTGGACCAGCTCCATCATGTCTTTGACAAACCCATCCACTTCTGGGCCTTCTAGGGCTCCGGTTTTGCTCTGAAAGATAAAAAGATCCAATCACCAGAATATCCTTTGCTAGGCAACTCCACCAAATCAGTGTTCTTTTAGAACTGCAGGCTCACTTACACAGGGCACGCTGCAACACAGGTCCTCCATGCAGAATGCAAAAGCTCTACGCCAGTTCAAAGAATTAATTGTAGGTAATTCCATGTGACCAAACAAGAAACAGCAGTCATGAGCTCCTTGGCTCTTGAAAATAGAGTTAATATGACAAGGGCTGACTTTCCTTCCCTCATATCACTCTTCCATGAAGGTAAGTTGTTAATCGTGCATTATTTTGATCCTTTCAAGGAGAAATTAGTATATGTAAATTCTTTTTATGACTTAATAAATGATTGGTGACTATTAAAAGTAGACTTTAAATTGAGAGACTATACTGCAGAAGTATATTAGGATGATCATTGGGTCTGTAGACAAGGCCCTTTATTTTTTTTCTGCCTATTTTATAATCCATTCAAACACAAAAGTCTAAAAACATTCAATACATGCAAAAATATTGCAGTTTCTTCTCTAAATTTATTTATTGTCTTCACATTGAACCTTTAGCATATTATTTTAAAATTTCTGTTCTCATAGTTTATATTACAAACACTTGTACAGTACTTACTAAAGGCCAGGCACTTGTACAATTTTATAAACATGAGTTCTTTAATTCTTGGCACAATTCCATTAGGAAGCTATTATAGCTATCTTTCCCAGCCTAATGATAAAGACAAGAAAAACAAAGCACAGGGACACTACAGAGATGTAGGGACCTACCCAGGTCACCTGGCTAGTGAGCCATAATTCACAGCTGGGGAGTTGGTCACAGAGCCAATACACAGTGCTGCCTTTCTCCGGTGATACCCTTCTCTGTTCAGAATAGGACAGATATTTAGACTGATCAACTTCAGGAAACTGTTTCTTGGATCTTTCCTAACTTTCTGCTTGGCTTTTCTTTTTTATCACCTTGTTCTCAAGAAATGCAATCTCTGTCATATTTGATGCTTTACAATTATTATTTTCTCTCCCCTAAAGAATGACTGAATACCTGATCTACAGAGAAATATTTTTAATATTACGCCAAATAAGTATGGCTTTGCCTCCGTTTGTTTGGGTTGGATTTGGGGATTTTCTGTTTTTGTTTTTGAGCATAGTACTATTATAAATAGGTTTCAGTCCTATAAGAAGGAAAAATTTTTTCTTAGTTTTAATACAAGGAGAAAAAATTTTATTGTGACTTTTTTCTTTCTCTAATATAAATTTTTCTTTGTTCATTTTCACTTAGTTCTCAGAAATTATCTAGAGAAGGTGAGGGTGGCTTGACCTGGCAACGCCTATGTGAGATTGCTCTTCACCTGTGAGTGGGATGACAAGGAGGCTGCCTGTGTGATGGCAGCCAGCAAAGCACAAAGAGACACACTTACAATATCATAGTGGGCAAAGATCTTCTCAAAGTCCCTCTTCCTTTCTTCAGTAGAACTGGCCTGTGTGTGGAGAACATGTTCTGTCAATCCTGCACTGTACACTTCTTCCAAGGGCTTGGGCAACTTTTATAAACAGAGTCAATGAACCTTAAGACCCCCGGGTTCCATTCTGAACCTTGTTGGTCTCTAAATTAGTTATGAGGAAGACAATGGATATCTTCCTTTCTTTCCTCCTTCCCAAATCTTCAATAAACCCAAAATGATATAAACCCATCTAGAGGAATGTCACTACTTACATCCATTTTAAACTGGAGAAGGAAGTTTTCCTGAAGAGCCAAAATCCTAAATAGGAAAAAAAAAATAATAATAAAATCTACATGACAATCTATCAGCTCTTGCTTACAAGTAAATTCATAGCATCTGTGGGAAGAATGGGTAGCTTCCATATTACCCTGGAGAACAGTATAGCTGCTTGAAATATAGGATCTCCTACAGCATAAAAACAGATTAATGGAGAAAGGTTTTCACAGAGCACCTCTAGGAGAAGCACTTTCATCTCTTTATAGCTGGTCTCTTCATCATTAGAGTGGCCAAGATCAAATCCTGGGAAAAGTAGCTGTGCAGGACACACCAGGTGCCTCACAGCTCCTAGGAAGCATGGCTAGAAGTCCATCTGTGTGCTAGCATCAATGTCATGGTCATTAATAAGGAGTGATTCTTCCTGGTGTGTCCGTCTTCATACATACCCCTCAAAACCTGGCATAGGTAGCTGCCAAGAAAACACTCAGCCAGAGCAGACAGTATCTGCTACCAGACATAACTTACACCTGCTGTGACGTGGTCACATTAACTCCTTGTCATTGAAAACATACCCTTGGTCCTTGAGATACCCCTCCCTCAGCTACACCTGCTGCCACCCCAAGTCCTGTCACCATCCAATTCACAATTGCAACCTAGCCTGATCTGAGGCACCTGGATTGACAATTGCTCTCCCGTAGGGTTATAGTTATATCCATGGAGTTTGGACCCATTGGTTCCAAATTTGAACACCTGCTCAGAATTTTTCCTTTCGGCATGTTGTATGGGGCCAGTCAGCCTTGACAAGAATGCAGCTATGGTTGAAATCAGGATGCCCCTCAGCTCATCCACCCCTGAACTCAGGCAGGACTTTTTGTTTGTTTGTTTGTTTGTTTTGGTACCAGGAATCGAACTCACAACCTCCCGCTTGCTAAGCAGGCGCTTGTGCCACTGACCTATATCCCCAGCCCTCAGGCAGGCATTTAATCTCAAAACCTAGGTTAACAGAATTAAGGGGGTGGAATCTTAATTCAGTTGTGCTGTTTAGAGGTAGTGCTTTGGTAAGTGATTGGACTTGATAAGGCCCCATGATGAATCCCAGTGGGTTTATAGTGAGAAGGAGACACACAGACACCGAGATTCATCCATGATGTGATACAGCCAAAGGGTTCCTTGCCAGTACTTGTTTTGCTATGCTGTTTGGTTTTCCAGCCTCCATAACAGTGAGCTAAATAGCTCTTTTTTCTTTATAAGGGAGTCTACTCTTGGTATTTTATTATAGCAATAAAAAGTGGACTGATACACAAGGTGACATCCAATCACATCTCACACCAGACTCACAGAAGCATTTTTGCACACTGGGCCTCACTGGATCTTATCCTCTCCTCCTCCTTCTCCACTGCTCTTTGGCACTTGATGCCTTCTCCAGCGCTGAAAGGCCAGAGAGCACTGAGCTGGAGTCAGGCTCAGTTCTGAACTAACTGCTTGATGTTCCTGAAGCCAGCAATAGAGTCACAATGTGTTTTATCACAGAAATCCTAATGTGAGACCAGGAATGTCTGATGTTGGAGGTTCAGAATCTGCTTATGACCCATCCATGAAACTATGAAAATTTTGTGTTTTGTGTATTTGGGAAGCAAAAGTTTTCATTATCCTCACAAAGGAATCTGTTAGCCCAAAAGACTCAGACCCAGTGCAGTTAACTTGATAATATGCACCTAGTCTTTGGGACTCCAGAGGAGACCTGATCTCTGGTTTGAAAAGACATGCCTTTCTCTCCTCAAACCCTTGGAAAGATGTTTCCAGATCCATGATGTCTTTGCCACTCACCTTGCCAGGTCATTGAGATCCAACCGACCATCTTTATTTTTGTCAAAGATTTTCATCTGAAATGCAGAAAGAAAAGCAGTGGCAAGAAATACTTATAACAGAAACTCATTCTGAAAGTTATTACAGCCCTTCTTTATTTTTACCCTTCTAATTACACATTTGCCTTAACTGGAAATTAGTACTTTCTACAAAATGAATTGCACCTTAGCTTCTGTGTTAGAATGGTCATAATAACAAAGCACCCTAAATCCCATGGCTTAGCACAGCACAAGATCATTTCTTGCTCATGTTACATAAGAATCCAGAGTTGGCTGGGACCTACTCCATGTAGTCTTCACCCTGGGATTGAGAGTAACAAAGTAGCTACTATCTGGAGCTTCTCATCCCATTTAGCTCACTTTCTCCTCCCAAAAAACTTAGCATTGCGCAAAGAGCCTGATTACATGATCAGATCAGACATTGCTTACACAAGACAATACTCGAAGTTAAAAATGTCTGTGCTAAGCACAAATTGGGAAGAGCAGATTGTTTTAGGCTCGATCAAGGAGATGTACTTATTTTCATAGCTGAGTTGGAATGTAAGTGAATTGGGTGACGTCACAACATTTTAAGACTGCAGAATATCTCTAAACATATCTATATAAGGAAGCTTCATAGGGAAAAGGCAGCAAAATGATCTGAAAATATATCTAACAGATTTTTGCCTTAAAAATACACTAGTCTTCTATGCTTTTCCCTCTCCAAATCAGTTTATATTTGAAGTGAGTTTGAAAGCCTGTTCTCCCCAAACACTGGCACCAAACACGTATATTATAAAATCTCTTAAGGCACAGGTTATATTTTTAGACATTTGGACATATTACATGTCCAACTGTGTCCCTTGAACACAAACACTACACCCAGCCCCATCTACTGCCTGCGTGGGATTTGAGGCAGGTGTTCCATTGGCACCTACAGTTCACCAGGCACCTTACCAACAGGCCTACTTCTTCTCCCACTGGGCAGCTGAGGACAGGAGCACAAAGGTGTGGCGATGTGTCCAGGGTCACAGACAGGATGCAGATGAAATGCTGGTAAGTGTTAGACAGGATCTTTGTTTTGTCTCTGATATGCCCCAAGTAACTGAGACAACAGCTTGCCACTCAACATTTGTCGGGTTAAAAGAAACATAAGCCTTAGTGTTTTCCCTCCTCTTGGCACTAATTTATCCCTGGAGAGCTGTGACAATTGGGGCTGGGGTTCCCTTCTGTAGGGTGGCCGCTGCAAGATGGTGAGGCTCTCACCCACCATTGTCTCCTCTACTGCTGCTTTCCCAGGCTCATGCTCAGATCCCATTTTTTCCAATAGGAATTGTAAGTAGGTGCTGTGACAGCTTTACTGCATCAATTTGATTGGCTTGGGAGCTGCCAGGGGACTGGTGGAGCACACTTATGGATGTGATTGGATAGGTTATGAAGGTATAGCCTTAGGGTCTGTGTCTAGTCCCTGGCCCCTTCCTCTCTGGTGGTGCTCCACTGCCCTCATTCCATCCTCTATGAACTAAGCAACTTTATTCTACCACTCCTTCCAACACAGTGTTTCTGCCTTGGAACCAGATGACCATGGACTGGATCCCCTGAAATCATGAGCTAAATGAAACCTCTCCTATTTTAAATTGTGAGTGTCAAGTATTGTGTCCCAGTAATGAGAATGTTAACTAATGAAAGTGCTATCAGTGTGCCTAGAAATGGAGTACAACATGTTACTGACAAACTACTTAAAATTTTGTGACTGATAATTCCTTCTCAGGCAAGATACATCTTAGGGATTGAGTTAGCAAGCACTCTCCTTGGACTGGTTAATAAGTTTCTTCATAACTTTTCAAAGTTTGACAGACATAATAGGTATTGTGAAATGTAAATGTATCTAAACTCATTACTAGATTAGTAGTTACTTCTCTTCAGTTGATAGTTTCTCAAACAACAGACCCAAAACACAACTATTTCTAGTGATAGAAGAAGCAATTTGTGAAGTTCTTAAACAAGTGGTAATTGATCATTAGAGTAGGACATACAACAGAAGTGAAAAATATACATATATGCAGTAGGAAAAGTACAATGTCCCTCCCTTACCTATCCTAGAGGTAGCGGCCACTCAAAGAATCTTGTGTATCTTTCCAAAACTTTCTAAAGTGTATGCATGCATACACTACCTACCATTTGTTGCCAATAGGACCATGACCTATCCACTGTTTTGCAATTTGCTTTGTTCATTTAACAATATTCTTGGAAAGAATTCTTAGCTGCTATTTTTTACTAAAAAGGCAATATTTTGTTTAGTAACAGAAAACCAACTAATATAGTAGCCAGGAGGATTGGTTGATTAAAGATGGAGTGATGGAGAAATAGGCATTAAAGGTGCTTTCAAGACTTTTGCCTTGAAAAATTTGGCAGATCAAGTTCACCCCAGTGGAGCAGGTTTGTGACTGAAGTTCAGGATTTCAATTTGGATGTGCTAAGTTTGAGATACTGTACATCTTGACATGGTGATACACATCCAAGCACTCTCAAGGAGCCCAAAGAAATGGTCTGAGCCAAGGACACAGACCATTGTCAGTCTTTAGCTAGTACTTAAAACCAAGTGACAGTTTAGATCCCAAGAGGAGCAAAGGTAGACATGGGAAGAGAAGATAGCATAGGACCAAGCCCCAACCTTTCTCAGGCTGGCCTGCCTCAGAAGTCCATGTCTTGAGTTGGGAAGGAAGCAAGCCAGAGGCTGGCTGCTTTAATCCAGGCATAAAGGAGAAGAGCCAAGACCAGGGCACCGGGTGGGGCCAGCTTCACCACATATAATTCCCTTTGTCCACCAAAGCATCAGGTTTTAATTTGTTGCTTTACGATATTTCAAGTTCTGTGCTATTGTTTGGTACATGAACTTAACATCTCCTAGTGATATTAGCTTACATTTACCAAACTAAACATTATCTAATAATGTTCTATCCGGACAGCTACTCATCCCCTGTCCACTGCTGGCAGCACATCCTCCTTCACTATCACAATGTTTCATTTCCTTCCTTTTCCAGAACATTGATTAGGAATCAGGATAAGACAAGGTGGGCAGACCTCAGCTTCTCGCTCTGATTCACTGTTTGCCGTGACTCATTCGTTAATCATGCTTCAGACAGTTTTCAAATGTGTCAAACATTATTCAGGTCAATTTGAATTCATTTAGTAGGTCCCATTTCTTAAGCATTTTATGCTAAACCTTAGAAGCCAAGCTTTACTGCTGTGTTACCACGACTGTGTTCCTTGCTCAATAAAAAGTCATTAAAGGAGCAGTAATGTGATTTCATCCATGGTGAATCACTTAGAGTTCAGGGTACACAAGTCATTTTCTTTTTTTTCCCGGTCTGGGGATCTAACTCACAACCCTGCACTTGCCGGGCAGGCACTGTGCCGCTGAGCTAAATTCCCAGCCCCCAAGTCATTTTTAAGAAGGTGATTTCTAAAAATTAATACGTTCAAAGGTCTCTAGGAAAACGTAAGAAGTCCTTTAAAAAATCAGTAGTTCTGTTCTAAAATCTGTTCATTGGAAAGTAAGGCCTTCTCTACAACTTTGAGAAGAATGAAAAAAATTGGTCAAAATCTCATCAAACTCATTTTGTCTTCTGAGCAAACTCAGATCTTTGAGCAGAGACTTACCAGCCTTCCTTAGCAATTACCTTAATGCATAAAGATGATACAAGGGGCTAGTCCAGGAGAGTTTTATCAGTTATGGCTCTAGTGCTAGGGGGTGATTTCAAACCAAAATGAGTATTTAACTGCAGCACACATGAGCAGAAGAGCTGTGCAGTTTTAGCAATGAAACAGGCATGGAATAATAGTAATGTTTCAGCCAGTGGACAAAATCTCCCTCATCCCCCTGAGGTGTGTCTCAGAACTCTAGATTAATGGATCTAAGCTATATGTCATCCAGACTTAGGCATTGCAGGTTTTCTTGAGCTCTGGGCATCCTTCTATAAGATGCTGTGAGCTGGCAATTTTAGCCTGGAAGTTATGAAGAGAACAGCTCTGCCAACTCGAGGTTCCAAGCTGATGTAGCCCTCATCAGTTCCTATGAGCCAGGGACTGCACTGACTTTCTGAGCTCTCAGCCTCCTCCTCGGCTCCCCACCTTTGATGAGAGGCTGTCTGAATGAGAGCCTTTAGGGTTGTATGCAGGCTCCATCCACCTCTCTCTCCTCCCTTCCTCGATTGAACGGTGGTTCGTCTCTTCTCCAGGACAACTGTGTTGCTTCTCATTTCCCGTTGCCTTTCATTACTTTGTTTTTTGCTTGGTGTTTACTAAGATGTCAATTGTTTGGATTATTAGGCTTCATGCTAAGAAAAATCTTTTTTTTCTGGGTAATAAATCTCATTGTGGTTCATTTATCATCTTACATTTAAAGATATTCAGACAATCCAGGTTCCCTCATTCGATTTATTCTTACCTGATTCTCGACTTTCATCCTAGGATTGTCATCACTGCTTGGTCTATCCATATAGCCTTGCTCTCTCCCTTTGAAAAAATTTCTATGTAACACTACAAAATTCCAACATGTAGACATAAATGCTGCAGTTGAAAATATAGGCTTTAGAGGCAGATCCAGTTGTGAATTTCCACTCCACTCCTTGCCATATTTGACCAGTTAAGATCTATAATCCTCAGATGTTTCATTTGGTAGAGAGATTTGGTATGAATCAAGTGAGATGTTTGAAAATGCTTCAAAATTGGCTTGGTATAAAGTGAGCACAATTATTATGATTAAAGTACTCAGTAGTAGAATATGTGCTGGCTGCTGTTTCATGAAAGTAGAATATCATGTGGACTCAAGCCAGCACTGCCAGGTACCCTTTCCGGCTCTACCTTGGAGAGTCTGCTTTAAGGGAAAAGAAAAAAGGAATTTGAGAATTAAGGCGCTGCTTGGGGAAAGTGTGTTTAAAAAGGTGAGATGTACAATCTGCAACCCACCAGGCCAACCAGGGGAGCAAGAGCTGTAACGGGGGTTCAGGAAAAGGTTCTGCCATGGTTTAGTCATAGCTCAGTGTTAGACAAGAATGAAAAATTCAGGTTAATTTGCATTAAATAGCCTACTGTGTGCCTGGCCCATTTGTTGGTCAGGCATACTTTGAGAAAATGCTCTTTGCCTCACGAAGGCCCGGCACCATACCCACACAGATTGTGTCAGTGCCATCCCAGGCTTACCTGTTGTATCAGCAAATCCTGTTGATTCCTTCCTAAAAATTTCTCTATCCCAACCTGGCTGTCCCTCTGCCAACCTCTCTCACCTGGGTGGCAGCAAGGGCGCCTTATGGGTCTTCTTGATTTCATCCTTGTCCATTCCACTCCAAGCTTTTCTCAACACAGCCGCCAGATGGTGAGATCCTCTGCTTCAGATCCTCTAGCAACCCCTATCTTACCCAGACTGAGCTGCAAGTTCCCACAAGTGCCTGAAGGCCCTACATGGTCTGGATGCTGGTTGTCTCATCCTTGCTCACTCTGCTCCAGCTGCACTGGTTCTCCCTGCTCCAAAATCTCTCAGACGTGTCCACCCTCTGGCCTAGCTCTACCCTAGTCCTTCCTCACCTCTTGCCTTTCTGGCATACCCTGTTGGAAACTACACCTTCTCCCCAGCCCCCACCACAGCTGCCCTGAAACTCAGACATCCCCAGCAGGCTCTACAGCTCCATTTTCTCCACAGCACTTCTTACTTTCTATCATGCAACATCATTTATTATTGATTACATGTATTGTGTGCTGTCAGTCTCTCCTTTGCCAGTTTTGCTCCCTGTTGAATCTCCAGGGACTTGAATAGTGCCTGCGGCATGGTAAGTATTTAATGAATATTTGGGGGAAGGAGTTAAATGAATGACTATGGCATCAAGATGGTGACAGGCACCACAGGAACCTGGAGAAGGGGTCCTGGGACTCACTATGGGAGAAGGTGTTGGAAACTTTTCAAGGCAAGACAATATCTAACTGAATCTTGAAGGATGAGCAAGAACCAGATGAAGAAAAGAAGGGAAAAAAATATACCTACAATATACTAAGCAATCAGAAAATAGTTTAGTATTATTAGTAGGAGGTAAGGAGAAGACTTACTTCAAAGTCAAAGGGCTTAATGCTGCTGAAGATACTGAAAATAAGCTAAAGATGCATAATGCAAAGCTACTTGTTCTGTGTAGTGCATGCTTTATAAGTGAATGAAACTGACATAGTAACAGTCAGTGTTAATATTCTGCTAAATTGATATTTAAAAATATGCTCAGCACCCAGGCATCCAGAGGGTTGACCTGCAAGAGCTGTTGAATTAGGGAGCAAGCCTCTTGTGAGACACGTTCTGGCGTGTTCAATGCAGAGTAATTTATTCCTGCTGCATGGCGCTCTCCCAGTCTTTGGATCAAAACCTCCAGAGCAGCTGGGGGGGGAGCTAAAAAACTTCCGTTTACATTTACTGTTTGAAAAAGATATTAGCTAATTGTGCCAGGCACTGTTATACATATACTTTTAACAAAGGTGTCAGTTAGTTTACCCATAGTTGGGTGGCAGGTGCTTTGCAAACCCAGGTGAAACAGGAGTGCACCTCCAGAAGGTCCTGTGACGTGGAGCGCTAAGCACAAGGCTGTTTCACTTGAACAACAGAACTTCATGTGGTGGCTGGCTGCCTTCTGCTAACCAAGGTTGGTTTATAAAGATCAAAGTATTTGCTGAATAAGGCAGTAAAAGTGCTTGATGAACAATGTCATCATGCAGTTTGAAAAGTGAGAAAAAATGCATGCATGATGTCTGAAAAGAAACTAGCACCATGCTGGTGTGTAACTTGTGGATTTTTAATGTGCTTCAGATTATTTCTTAGAGGAGAAATCACTTCATAGTGTCCTGCTGAAACTTGGTGGGTTAATACTGCTTCTCTAGGAACAGTTCAGATAAACACTCACATTTCTCTCTTTAGCCTCATCCTTCTTTCCCCATCTTTGCATTCCTGCTTTCTTCTCTTTTCTTTCTTGTTCTCTTCTTCCTACTCTTTGTTCATGCGGGTGCAACATGAAAGGGAAGGGACCATGTATTTGCCCAAATTGTATCAGCTTGATTAGGACTAAGAAATTACAACATAAAATAAATATTCATAAAATTGTAAAAATACTAAATATATTCGACTATAAAAAGGATTTGTTTGTTGTTCTGGCCTTTGGACCATTTCTGTCAAATTTCCTGCTTATATTGTTCACTCTAGGGCAGGGTTCTCAGCAGTTCAGATCAAAAGGACCTCATGACCATCCTCTGGACAGGAAATTGCTTCCTGCTTCTGGGGGACTTTGCATTTGACCTTTAGTGCCATGTTCATATTCAGGATTTTGAGCATCATTTTGCATGCTATTAAAGCAAATAAACAGCAAGAAATCAAATTACTCCCTTAATTGAGATCCTGTCCTAGGATTTGATTCTCCCCTTGACATCATCCCTTTTCCTATGCAGGCCATTTATAAATGATGATGGTCAAGATCACTTTCTTCCTTCCCAGGGCACATCATGTGGCAAAAGGAGCGGGCAGCATTCAGAACAGTGGGGACAGATTTCAAGGCAGGAAGGGCCCAGGATTGAAAACCAGGGCAGCTTAGTGTCCGGTACAACAGGTATGTTTGGCTCTTCTCTGTCACATGACCTTTAAAGTAAGCTTCAGTGTTGGGAAACACCAGCTCCAAGTCTCTGTTGACCAATTTAGAGGCTCACACTCTCTCCTCAATAGTCTGCACCCTTGACTGTCCACTCCCAGGCTCAGCAAGATTAGTATGCTCCAGAACCATAGCATAATAAATGTAAAAGTCTCACAAGTACACAGTTAAGCTTTGGTCAGCAAACTACTTCCCCACTAACTAAGAAGACTACAGAGCCAATGAGCTGAAGTGCAGTGGTGGGGACGAGAAGGCAGTAGATGGAGAACCCGGGTCCATTTCCACAGGAATTGTTGGCTGGTGCTGGGAGAGGTGCATCGTGTGAGGCAGTGGAAGAGAGCATGGGCTGAGTTCTCAAAAGCAGGGAGCTTGACTCTGCAACAGTCTCAGCTTCCTTTGGGACAACGGTGCCACGACAGGATTGTGAAATACAGTGAGGACACAGCTACAGTCATACCTAGGTACTCTGCTCTGAAACTCTTCGAGTTTGGTACTCGACACATTTTGATGTAGCACTCATCCTTTGTTTGGTGCTACAACTTGTCAGTGTCGATTTCCCCCTGACTGGGTATACCCTTTACAGACAAAACAATTTGACAGTCACACCTCTTGGAACCAAATAAGGACAAGTACCAAGATAGCACTGTACTACAAGAAGAAGGAATGTGTGCGATGATTCTGTCCCAGACACACACAACTTGGCATTCTACCTCTACCAAGTCACTCTGCCTCGCAGTAACAAGGTACTCTTAGGTCCCACATTACAGAGAAGTAAACAAAGCTTAGAAGCTTGACACTTCTCCTAAGCGATAGCTAGTAAGTGGCAGAGGAAACACATACATATTCTATCTGTCTGACTTTCCACTACACCAGGTCAGCACACTCAGTGCTTGGAACCACCTGCTATGGCAGGGAGCTGCATCCCTCTGTTTAGTCCTGATGGTCTAGGTCTCTGCTTACTTGTTTGCTAGGTAACTGATTAACACTGAAGTCACTGGCCAGGTGCTCAGAAACCCAGTGTTGCCTGGAGATTCCTGGCTTCCCCAGAAACCAGTGCGTGGCCTTCTCGCAGATACATGCAATCTGTTCCTGAGATTGAGAGGGGCTAAAGCAGCTCGGTTTTATCCAGTGCTCCCCAGCAATGAGGTCTTGCTCACACCTTCATTCAGTCTACACACACTTTTTGAGGGCTGGAGGAGGCAGCTGAGTGCCACCTTCCTGGAAATCGCTCTCCGTGACTCACCATGGTGTCAGTATATTCTTCCAGTTTTGCCTCAGAAATGGCCTTTTTATGGTGGAGGAAGAGGTCTCGGAGGAAGTTCTGTGACACCAAGAGAAATGTGACATTTATTCAGCAAGCCAATAAGTAAATAAATGCAAGCCATGTATTCTGCAAAGGTCTCAAGAGGCCTGTTTGTCTGTTTCAAGGAGGAAATAGACCCTTTTAACAAGCAATCAGTTCAAGATTGCAGAGCTGTCACTGTTTAAAGAGACCTCCTGAGACCCAGGAAATAGCTCCTGGTCCGGAAAAAAAAAGTATCTTAAATACTTAATCATGCCTCTTTCCCAGAGACAGCAATGTAACCTGAATTTTCTAAATCTTCCAAACATCAATACATTGTTTTTTAAGTAAGGAATACAAATCTATATTTGTTAGGCCACAGAAATCAAACCCATGCTGTATATTAATCAAACTCCCAATGATAAACAAAGCGGCACTTCACCCAGTGACAGTCCCCTTCACACAGTGACACTTACTCGAAGCTCAACAGCTGATATAAAGCCACTGCTGTCTGCGTCATATCTGCGCCAAATCTGAAATACACAAAGATCATGAGTCAATTCATCCCCCAGTACTTTGGGAGTGACTTATGCTGGTGTTTTCTATGGTTGGGTGTCTGAAAACAGTTCTTAACTGAGTGCAAATAAGTTTTTTAACAAGGAATTTGGGGCTTTCTTTGGTGACAGCAATTGTTTCAACAGAACTTAGTAGAAATGGGCCACCAGCACATTCACTTGGAGAACTCATGAAGATCAGTAGGCTCATATTGCCGGGCTTCTTTGGGGAAGCTCAAAATAGAATGATAAGAAAAAAAGGACTTCAATTTGGGCAACATTGCAAACTAAGAAATCTTCTCTGTACTAAACACCTAAAAAAATGCAGGACACTGAAAAACCACACCTTAAACATAGCTGAGCTGGCAAGAAAGTGGAAGGACTTCTACAGGATCCACAGGATAGTAAAGAGAGGTGTAAATGGGGAACAAAGCCCACCCCAGGTGTATGTGCTGCTCCTAGGGAACATGGCCTGCCGCTTCATCAGAAAACTGTACTTGTAGACATGAGACTAATCCTGGGTGCCACACAAGGTGAACTCAGATTCAGTCACCTCTTTATGACTGGAGGTCTATACTGTAAGTTCTTAATGAAAGGGTGAACTAAACAAGAATGATAATAGTCTGCAGAAAAGTTCCCTAAGCAATCTTGCCTGTGTGGCCATGGCTCTACACAGATGGGACAAACTGTCTCTGATAAGCTGTCCCTCTCCCTGGTTTAAGTCCATCACTCTTCTAGCTAAAAATACAATTTCATTCTGAACTAGAAGACAGAACAGCTAAAAACCTTTGAGGAAAGCTGGGAACTGCTTTCTTTAATAACTGCTCTTACTGTAACCACTTCTGCTTATTCCATACATAAGACTCACATAGGTTGGTAAGCACCTTAACACCTATACAAAATGAAAAGTAGCACAAAGTAGTTTTGCTTTTTAGTAGGCAAGACTCTCTTTAGGTCCTAAGCGTGTTGTCCATGTCACCAACTACAGGGACTTCATTTCAAGACAGTCAGGGCCCTGACCGAAGATCCTGCAGGGAAAGTGGGAGATTTTTATCTGATGCTGGTATTTAATGAGGATAGTTCATCACTCCTTTCAATCTCTGTCACTTATGCCTGAAATTAACTAAACTTACAAATTAATGAGTTAACTGTGATTTATATTCTAAATTTTACTGGGTGAATATACCAAAAATAACGAAAATTTCAAATAATTTTTAAAACATTTGACATGCTTTTAAAGTGCTATTGTCCAGGTACCTCCCATCTAAATGATCTTATAGTTTTACTACAATTGGGGCCATAGAGGGCCAAAGATTTTTATGTGAATGTTCAGTAGGCCTATCATTAAAGAATGACAGCAAAGTGAAGAGATTTCTAGACAATAAGGAATAGTTCGCTACCAACTGACTCTTAAGAAAAGTTATACTCTAGGATGAATGAGAAACATGAAGCAAGACATCTAAGACACAAAAAAGAATAGCCAACAAAAAGAATAGTAAATAGGTGGACAAACTGAAATAAATGTTGACTGCCTAAAATATGTGAGATAAAAGAAAACAAGATAGAAAAAATGCCTTGCACTGGTCATGTTGGCACATACCTATAATCCCACCACTTTGGAGGCTGAGGCAGGAGGATCACCATGAGTTCAAGGCCAGCCTGGGC